CAGATCCTGCCCCGTTTGCTCTCCAGCTGCTGGCACCTCCGGCTGAGCTCTTTCACCTCCAAATTCTTATCATCCTGCAGCTCCATTACTTGGTCAGTGACTTTAAGTTCCTCTGGACTTTCACACGGATCATAATAGACAACTTCATCCTGTTTATCTAGAAACATATTGTTTTTAAAGACACGTTTTATTATAAAAATGCATACAATTTTTTAAATGTAAGGAAAGTGAAGATCATGTGTAATCCCACCATCCAGGGAGAACCACTATTAACATTTATGGGTGTGTATGTGCGTGCGTGCGTGTGTGTGTGTGTGTGTGTGTGTATGTGCGCGCGTGTGCGTGTGCGTGTGTGCGCGCGCACATATACACACACACACACCTTACATAACTACACATATCAATAAACACAATTCTAAGAGAACATTTTCCATGTGAAAGGAAATATAATTTTAATGGCAACACAGTATTCTGTAATTAAAATGTGCTCTGTGGTTAGAATATTCCAATGTTCCATTATCAATTTCGCTGTGATGAACATCTCTGAATATCGATCTTTGTGTACATTTATTACTTCCTTAGCAGATAAATATTTAAGACTCTTGATAACTAATGTCAAATTGCCCTCCAGAAAGGCATTTATATTCTATCAGCAATATTATTATTATTAACGTGCCTTAATGATATCTAATCTTGATTACATATTGATGTTTTTTAAATACATGCTAATTGTAACGAAGTCATGCTAATTGTAACAAAGGACTACAGAATTACAGGAAGAGAAATTTTCTTATACTTTCCCCAAACCTTTGGGATCTCAATCCAGAGGAAACTATTATAACAATTTGGCATGCGTCCTTCCAGATTAACTTTTTCTTAATAGAATTTTTTCCTAAATATGTGAAATGCTTATAACTTGAAACTACTGTAAAGTTTTTTGAAAACCTAGGATTAAATTAAATGTTCAGGATCTGTATGAAGAAAATTATTAAACTTGGAGGAACTTTAGGAAAAAAAATATTTAAGCAAATGGAGAGACATACCATGTTCTTGGATGGGAAGATTCAAATTTGCAAAGACGACAATTATCCCCAAATTAATCTCTAATTTTAAGCACAATCCCAATAAAAATTCCAACGAGTTTGTTTGTTTTGATTTGTTTTGTTTTGAACTTGTCAAAAGGATTCTAAAGTTCATCTGGAAGAATAAAGGAGTGAGAATAGTCAGAAAACTTGTGGAAAAGTAATGAAGGAGATACATACTTTCCCAGATACTAAAATGTACCTCCAAGATTCAATAATGGGAACAGTATGGGACCAGTACCAGAAGCCATTCACAAATCAATGAAAGAAAATAACATAAATATTGTTCATAAATAGATCAAAATAAATATAATAACTCTGGATATAAGGCAGATAGCAAGTAAAAGCAGTAGGGGAATGTGTTTCAAAATCAGTGATTGGGAGAGCTACGGACTCAGTGGGGAAGAGTTAGATTCCTACCCCACATCAAAATAAATTTCACCTGAATTAAAGAGCTAACTGTTCTTTTAAAAATCATAAAAATACTCAAAGAAAAAATAAGTAAAGTATTGATACAATTCTGGGATGAGGAGGATTTTGGCAGGTATAACACCAAAAGCAGAAAATAGATGTGACTTCATAACAATTAAATATTTCTGCAAGGCAAGGAAAAGCAAATGGCAGGGAGAGTTTATCTGCAACATACGACAAATAATCATGTCTTTAATATGGCAAGGGAACATTCCAAAGGAAAAATGGACAAAGACCTTGAATAGGCACTTATAAGAAAAATACAAATGGCCAGTAAACATACAAAATTGTGTTCAACATCACTTATAACTGCATAAATGAAAAGTAGAAGATGCTATTTTTTTGTATCTAGTAGGCAAGAATTTAAAAGAATGGTAAAAGGATGGGGAAACAGATATTTTCATAAACTGCTGATGGGAGTGTCATTTTGTATAACCTATCTGGAGGACCACTGCAGTATGGAATTTAGAAATCAAAAAATACTAGAGATGAAAAAAAAAATGTATACCAAATAATTGTTGTAGTGTTGTTTTCACAAATACGTGTCAAATGTAAATTTTGCATTGTCCTTGATCTAATGATTCCATCTTTAGAATTTATTCCACGGAAATCATCTGTCCTACACACAAAGACATGTGGACCATTTTTCACTACACTGCTGTTTATAACTGAAAAACTGAAAATCACGGTTGGTACATCCATATAACAGAATACTGTGCAGCCATTAAAACTTTTGAAGATTTTATTATTTACTGAAATGGAAAGACGGTTATTATGTATTAAAGGAAAAAGAGGATACTGAATGGGATATATAGTTTTAGTTTAAAAATTGATAGGTACTATATTTTAATGAAAACCTTTAAAAAATCAATAGATATTTATAGACATCAGGCTACAAAGCTAATCAGCAAGTTATTATCACTAAGCATCCCTAGATGATGGAACTGGGGTAATAACAGTTTTCCTTCCTTTATTTTGCTGAGTGTTTAACAATGAATGTATTATTTGAATAATAAAAATACTGAAGGGAAACTTTAGGAAATCTCAGTAGATGTTTTAGACGATTTACAAGAACTAATTGATAATATGGTCTGTATTTCCTTGAATGTGTAATTTAAACATTAATATATATTTAAATATAAATTTTACCTTTTATAAGTCTTTTAATAGAATCCAGCTGTGTAATAAGCAGTATTTCTTCATATTTTAATATCTCAAGTTTAACTTCATATAGTTCTAATTGAACTTCATAATACTGTATTTCTAATTCATCTAAAACATCTATATTTTTTTCTTGTTCTGGAAGATCTTCCATCTTGTTTTCATGAAAAAAATAAGAGCAAGTTAAAATAATTATTATATGAAAAGCAAACTTTAGAAGCACCTGAGCTATTTTTTATTCCTTGCTCAATACCAAAAATAATAAAAGCAAATGAAGAAATATTCTTCTATTTCATTTAATGAAACAAAAATGTCCCATTCGACATTTTTACAAATACTTTAGCTCATCCTTGACACATATGAAAACATTTAGGCTTTGAGAAAAATCAATGGCAGTGAGATCTTTACAGGATTTTCTGCTTTAAAGTCATAACATTACAGGAAAAAATTTAAGTGACCATGATCCTAAATATCCCTGATTATCCTAACATTGTGCTGAAAATACTGCTTGATTGATTTTAGAGTATATTACCTACTTCAATACTGAGCTCCATGTTTATCAAGTGAACCCTACAATATAATATTTCAAAGCCATCTTGAGCAAAGTGTAACTTTATGGCCAAACTTTTTTAGTCTCTAAATTCTCATCCGATAGAAGATGGTGTTGGAAGAAGTGAAGAAAGGAAGTTCTTTAACAATAGCTGGAGGGAAGATGATATCTAAAGTCAAAGTGTATTTCTAAAATAAAGTCACCTTTATCTTTGCCTTACCTTTTGCTGAATTTCAGCTCTTTTGTGATTTAAACACAGCTCTTTGGCTCTCATTAGCTGCAGTGTCTCTCGAGCTAACATCAGCTGGAGTCTTTCTAACCTGGGGGTTGCTGTGGCCCAGGCAGCCTGGCCAAATCTCTTCTCATCCTGTTCCATTTGTTTCTGCATTCCTATTGGAGTATAATGGAAAAACTTATCCTGACCTAATTTCTTTGTTTATTCCCTCTCATGTTACCTGTGAAACATCCTTTTTAAAAGAAAATTTATTTTAATGACTTTTTTTTTAGTATCACAAAAATAATACATGGTCCTTTGTATAAAATTTTAGATATTTCTTTTTTTAAAAAAAAAGAGGAAAATACTCATGAGTCTCACCTACTTGCAAGTGCTTTTTACATTTTGCTGCATATACTTCTAGACTGTTTCTATGTCTAGCCAGACAGACATAGAGTTACATAGATAGTTTGACAAAAAAACAAAAACAAAACAACACCCACAAGATAATCATTCTTCTATATATCTTGTTTATTTCACTTATTATATATCATGGAACTCCTGCCATTCATAAAAACACATACAAAGAATCATGCTTAGTAGCTACGTGGTATTGTTTTATGAATACTATAATTTAACAAACTGGTTGACAGACAAGAAGTTGTTTCCTCTTTGGAACTGCCATGGACAATGATTTAAGATAAGACGAACTTCCTTCACACAGTCCACATGACCCCCAACCGTCTCAAACTGCTGTCTTGCCCTCACCCCACGTTCTTCACACTCTGCACAGCCCTGCAACGTTCTCTAAGTTCCTCACACTTGCCAAGCTCCCTCAAGCCAGAGGGCTTGTAAATGCTATTCCTTCCGCCTGGAACACTGTTCCCTCTCCTTTTTGCTCTAACTTCCACTTACCCTTCAGACATCAGAGCAAATGCCACTTCTCAGGCGCTCTGGCTGACCGCTCTGAGGGAGCGTCATTTCTCTTTCGGGCTCTCAGAGCCCTGTGTTTCTCTTCTCATGGGGCTTGTTGTCACTGCCATTTCCCTGTGTGTTTGAATGAACGTGTAACTAAGATTCTCTTCCCTCAACCGACTGGACAGTGTCTGTTTATGCCTATCCTCACACTGAATCCCCAGGACCTACTTAGTGCCTGGTATGAAAGAGACAGTCAAATGATTTTTGAATAAAATGAAAATTACATGTATCTTAGTGTAGCATTTGAAATTATTACCTGCTAATGCTTGCACTGTTTCTCTAAAATAATTCACAGTAATATCCTGAATAGAGACTATAGCTTCTTCAGCCCGCCTAGTCCATTCCTGGGCTTCCTTCTGCAGGGCCTCTATCCTTTTAGGACCCAGGTCATCCTCATCCAAGGATTTCTGCAGAAAGAAGGGAAAATTGTACGAGGAAGAAAGAATGGTAATGGGCAGCCATTAGGAAACTGAAAGCAAATTGGTCAAGTGGATTATTTCAACTACTTTTATTACTACTACTTAGTCAATAAAATTCCATTAATTCAGCAATTCCTTATTGAGAATAAATACAACTCTAAGCTGGGTACCACGTGGAAGACAAAAAGATACGCTGGGACATAAAGAAAGGAAAACAAAACACCTACTTTTCCTTTGCATTATTAGAGTAACTCTTTCTAGAGAGGAATGCTGTCAAGTTATGTTTCTCTATTAGTACTAATACATAATTGTTGAAATAAGATCTCTGTTGTTAAGTATTCAACATGAGTCCTGGTACATAGCAATCAAGTGTTACCGTTACTATGTTTCTTTTAGGGACATGGCAGGAATCTTTTCCATACCATGATTCTTTTCTGAAGGGCACAAATAATACAATAACTTAAAAGATAGTAAAATCTATACATTCATGACTAGGACAGTACAGTGTCATCCAGCATCCAATTCTTCTGCAAACTAGTAATATAAGAAATATACTTGGGTTTGCATTTAGGGAAATGTAAATCAAAACTACAGTGAGGTAGGTACCCCTTCCCATCCACTCAGATGGCTGTAACAAGTGCTGGCGATGATGTGGACAAACTGGAACCCTCATTTACTGCTGGGGGGAATGTCAAGTGGGGCATCTGCTTTGGAAAACAATCTGGCAGTTCGTTTAAAAGGTTAAGCATAGAGTTACCTTATGACCTAGCAATTCCACTCCCAGGTATATATATCCAAGAGAAATGAAGACATATGTCCACATAGAAATGTATACATAAATGGATCATTGCAGCCTTATTCGTAATGGCCAAAAAATGGAAACAACCCAAATGTCCATCAGCTGCTAAGTGGATAAGTAAAATGTGCTGTATCCATAGAGTGAACATTTGGCAGTACAAAGAAATATAAATTCAGATATATATTGTCACATGGACCTTGAAAACATGCTACATGAAAGGAGCCAGACACAAAGGACCACATATTGTATGATTCCATACAACGTGAAATGTCCAGGATAGGGAAATCCACAGATGCAAGAAAGTAGCCTAGGGTTGCAGGGGAATGGGGAGTGACTACTAATGGGTATGAAGTTCCTTTTTGGAATGATGAAAATATTCTGGCATTCGATAGTGGTGATGGTTGCACAGTTATGCATATACTAAAACCCACTGAATTGTGCACTGTAAATTGGTGAATTGTGTGGTCTGTGAATTATATCTCAATAAAGCTGTTACTTAAAGAAAGAAAATATATATACAGAAAGTAAAGATTATGCAAATACTTTCGAAATAATGTACAGGACAACTCTCTCCACAGATTAGAGTGGCAGGAGTTTCATCTAAATACAATGTCATTTTTACAGTACAGTGGCCTGGTGGGGACTATGAGTGCACGGGGGG